CAGCCAACAAGTGCCTTGACCTACTGAGCCATCTCACAGACTGTCTGCAACATTAAGTCCCTCTCCAGCACCATCCTGGCTGATCCCTCACCCTGGTAGACTCAGGTTTTTGTCTATCTGCTCCCATTAGAACAGGAAGATGTAACTGGAGGAAAATAGGTCCACATAGGACCACACCTCTGCATTACACCCCTGACCTTGATCATCAACCCAAGCTTCTAATATGACCAGTTCACACCCCTTTCCATTCTCCCCGCCCCTTCATCAGAATGCTATGCTGCTCTTGCCTTTATCCAGGGCCGTCCCCTCCTCCAACCCCCGTGGCACATTGACTTCTCTCAGCACCCACCCCATCTTTCCTTCATCTTTGCTCTTGCAAATATTTCTTCTCTTTCCTGCCTTTATCAAGTGCTCCCTCCATCCCTGCCATAAAAACATTTCCTAATATGGATGGACCAGCAGCAAACACAATACCCACCCTCCCCGCCCAAAAACCCAATGAGTTTATAGTTGGGAGAGCTGACAAACATGACCTCAGCTGGGGGAGGGGGAGGTCAAGGTTCACATCGGCTGTGATAAGTCATGGTGATGACATATACCCTTCACACAGGTGATAAGAATGGCACCTAGCCTTTGAGATTCCCCCTTCTGATGCCCAATACCAGAAGGATAAGAGAGAGAGACAGAGAGGAGAGAGAGAGAGAGAGAGAGAGGGGAGAGACGGGAGAGAGAGAGAGAGATTAAAGTATTTTCTGCAAAGCATGTGTCCCCAAACAGCCAGGGTCACCAAAAACACAGCAAAGGACACAGGCTTGCTCAATGGAATGTGCCTTGGATTGAATATTAAAATAGAAAAAAAAAAAAAAAAAAAAAGAAAGAAAGAAAAAAGAAAAAAAGAGGGAAGGGAAAGAACTAAGTTAAAAACTGAAGAAACAAAGTGCAAACTTGACAGTCGATATTTTTAACTTTTATTTGCTTATTTTATGTGCACGGGTGTCTTGCCCACGTGTATGTATGTGTACCACATGCATGCTTAGTCCCTGTGGAAGCCAGAAGGAGGGTGTCAGGTCATCTGGGACAAGAGTTATGGGTCACCATGTAGGTGCAGAGGATTGAACCTAGTCCTGTGGAAGAGCAGCCAGTGCACTTAACCACTGCTTAGTCATCTCTCTTGTCCATAAAGCACAAACTTTAAATAATGTACTGACATTGGCTCATCTCTGTCTGTTTGTATGTGTGTGTGTGTGTGTGTGTGAGTGTGAGTGTATACATATATGTGTGTACATATATATGCCATGGTAATGTTAACAAATGGGAGCAGAGGGAGAGAAATTTGAACTCTTAGGACTTCTCTATAGAGGTAAAACTGTAAGTTTTTAATATTAAAAATGAAAGCCCACTCAGTCCTGTGACACACATCTCCTTCCAGGCCCAATCTTTTCCTGCTCCCCTTCCTGGGACGCTCCCCAGGGAGCTCCTCGGAAGAGTTGGGTAGCACCACCATCTTTGCACCCCCGGCTTGCCACTGGGCTCTGTCCTCAACTCCCCACCTGGACAGTTCCTGTAAGGCCAACATGACCTGCATGCTAGCAAGTTCCAGGGGCCATTCATTCTCCTTATCTTACCTCTCAGCCAACTGTGAGGCCCACCCAGTTCGTGCTCCCCTCTTTGGTGAAACGCTGTTGTTTTGGCTTTGGGGATACTCATGGGCTATTCTCTGGTTGCTCCTGGTGAGTCTTGTTGCTCACTGTTTTTCCTTAGTCCCACTTATTTCAGTACCCCAGGCCCTCTCCAAAGACCTTTACTTTTCTTTGTCTACTCTTACAATCATTTTCCTCCCCTCTCATGGACTAAAGCACCGACTACCTATTGTGTTTCCCAAAGTGTGTATCTCTAGCCCTGGCCAGTGAGGCCACAGGAGGTTTGGTCTGTAAGAGTAGGAATCGACTGAGACTTCACACTGAGGTTACAGAGGGGCCAAACAGTTCCCTTATGGGTCACTGTGTTTAAAGGAGCCTTTTGAAGAGGCAGAGGTAACATTTTGATCATCGTGGAACTGGAAAGTACCTTCTTATAGATGAACAGGAAGAGGTTGGAGACCTAGGAGACCATACTGGGGAATAGGCAGTATGTGGGAGGTCCTGTCTACTGGCTAAGAAATTGGTCCCTGTCCCTATGATGCTACCTTGGTCTGCTCTTAGTCCTTCACCTCAATCCCAGTAGGACTGTAAGCAAGTCACTTACAGGCTTTGCTTTCCTGGGATTCGGTGTCCTAAGCTATAAAATATAGGTATTGATAATCTAGAGAATGAGGTTTAATTCTAGGCTCCTGTCAGCATCCATAGACAATCTGTGTTAGCACAACCAAGCCCGTCCGTCTCACTGATCCTGCACGAACCTGGCCTTGTGAAGAAAGAATCGCTTAATCTGACCACTCTTCTACAGAGTATACATTCTTTTTCACGAAGAGAAAAAAGCAGGAGATGGTTGAAACCTAAGCGCCATAAAGAAAATGAGTCTACATCATGTCTTCAGCCAAGCCACAGCTCAGCGTTTGACCAGTTTGTCCTGCACTGAGGAAGTGGGGCTGGGCCAAGCTCTACAGGGCAAGTAGAATCTCTAGGTATTCCAAACTTGGGTTTATGCTCCCCTGCTGGAGAGAGTTCTGATCTGGAGGGTACCAGCTAGAGGGATACTGTGATAGCATGTACCACTGAGAGGACAATACTCCTATAGGCAGGAGGCACTCAAGGGGCTCAACAGCTGTCATCTACCTGGTCCTGGGGCTGTGTACATCACATTCAGGCATGTACCTACTCCTAAACCACACTATGAAATTGGGAACAGTCAAGCCAATATTCCCTGCATGAATATGAAGCAGTAGTGGCTTGGGTAGGCTCTGGGCCTTGTGCTTATGCAATGCAAAGGAGACCAAATGCCTACTGACCTGATGGGAGATGCCATTATGTATATATGTTTCTCATACTGGTTAATAAATAAAGCACTGTTGGCCAATAGGAAAGGACTGTTGGCCAATAGGAAAGGAGGATAGGAGGGACTAGGAGACAAGGAGGAAGAGGAAGTAGTAAGGAGGAGCCAAGATGGAGAGCCTGGAGAGAACAGAACCGCCATTCCTCCGCTCTCCGTAAGACCACATGGAAATACATAGAAATGGGTTAGTAATTAAGACAGAGCTAGCCGATTAGAAACTAGCACCTGGCCAATAGCATTGTATCAAATACAGAGTCTTTGTGCATTATTTGGGGCTGGCAGCGTGGCGGCGGGACAAGACCAGGCGGCAGGCGGAAAAACCATACTTCTTACACTGACCCATGGGGAACAATGACATCTTTATGCTTCCCCTTTGCTTGCTTGCTGGACACTTGGACGTCAGAGATGTTGGACACTGTTCCCCATTCTAACAGGGCTTGGCGGGTCAGCCACAGTTTGGGGTGTATGGTTTAGGCCAACTACTTTGTCGCAGAATGGCATGAGAGGCTCCTTTCCCCAGTGCAGTCACTGGAGACCAGGGCTGCATTCTTCCAAGCTCGAGTTCTGAATTTGCCATGCTCTGAGTTAATCTGGGTCTCAAGGTGAAGTGTGTCATCCTCAGAAGAGCTTAAGAAAAGAGTAGGTGATGTTTGCAGGTGAGGAAGACCCTGGCAGGGTCCAGACAATCCAACTCAAGGTCCAGAAACCAAGCAGACCAGAAACAAAAATACCCAGAAGCTCTGGCGTTAAACTAAGACTGACTGGAATGCCATTTTAATTTCTTTTTAGAGTTATTTATTATTTTATGTGGTATGTGTGTTTTGCTCACATGTGTACCATGTGCGTATCTGGTGCCTGTGGTGGTCAGAAGTGGGTATCAGATCCCTGGGACTGGAATTACACATAGTTGTGAGCTGCCACATGGGTGTTGGGAATCCAACCTGGGACTTCTGAAAGAACGAGTGCTCTTAATCACTGACCCAGCTCTGACAAGATTTTTCTATTTGAAGTTGTAAATGGGCCCTAGCATAAGAGATGTGTCATAGCCAGCTTTGGGGCCTGAGAGGAGAGCAGCACTAGATGTGAGCTGTATGCATCCTAGACACTAATAGGGGACATTTGAAAACCACTGAGTCCTGGTCTCATCTGCAAGATGCCTGTGTACAGCATCCCTTAGGCTGATGGACACTAGCTAACAAGGTAACAATGAACCCAAGGCAGTCATTCAAGGGGATGCTGGCACGCTGGTCATAGGGCTGTCTATAAAAATAGGGATGCTGCTGGCTTTCTCCCTCCATCACACCCAAAAGACACCCGTTTGATCACCAGAAGAGTGAGTTTGACGGAAGTGTCATTTGAAATAGGGAACATATCAGTTCCATGCCTAGTGCTGGCCTTCTGTCATGTCCTGTCTCTGGCTGAAGTTGTCTTTCTCTTCAACCTACAGCCTACCTAGGAAGACCTTGACCCAAAATGCCCTTCTCCTTGGAACTTCTGCTGGATGCATGGCGTGAAGACACAAAGACCAGCATACTCCTCAGTGCCTCGTGGATTTCTGAAGGTGGATTCTGACCATGGCTTCTTTCCTATTTTTTTTAAGCCTACACTGAAAAGGGCACTTAGGTATCTACAGAAATACAGACACTAGCAAACAACGTCTGAACTTGGGCACCAGCCAGGTGCAAAGGTTTTCCTTCCTTCATTAGACTTCCTGTTGGCTGGTGTCAATCATCTGGTCCAGCTTGGTTCCAATGTTCATTTTTGCCATTGGGTAAGGAATTTATTTTCCACGATACAGCCCATGACAAATGCACAGGAAACGAGAGGCAGCCGCAGGACTAGGATCAGAATATTTTAATAAGATATCAGTGTCAAAATACATTTCCTTATAAAGTTAAGCTCCCATACAGTTATAATGTCGTCAGTAGGAATTTGACAATGCAGTAATGTTCACGAAGTTGTTACATTGACAGGAAAGGTTAATATGAAGCTCGGAATATTTCTCAGTGTTTGTTTTTTTTTTTAGTAAAACTGCAAAAGGAAATGCCCTTAATGCTGAGGCAACAACACAGAAAACCAAATACCAGCATCATTTACATATCAATAACCCTTCAAGTTCTATCCCTGTGTGTCAGGCCACACTGCGCACCACTGTGCAATTTGGACAACACCATGCCTAGGTAATTTTAGGTAGACTGACTTTGAAAGTTAATTTTTGGTGTGAGCGGTAAGTCCCTCTAGGCTTACTGCCTTCTGGCCTGATGGGTTTTGTGTGTATTTAAAGTTGTTTTATTGTACCTGAGTCAACAACATCGGCTGTTGATTGGTATCACACACCCAAAAGGTGGTCCCCCTCCTCCCCATGCGTTGCAAAGTGCTCTGGGAACACTATTTTCAGTGCTTCCTACCTATTCACGTCACTTCATGTGACTGAGACCCCTGGAGGTCGGCCTACTGCTCGCCTACCGGCGGGGCTGCACCTTGACTGTGCGGGGCTGACCAGACCAAGTTTAGCTCACAGGACTGGATCAGTCCATCATTTGTGAATCCCCACTCAAACCATCTCATGGTAGCTGTGGAAATACCCAGTGTGCCGCACCAGAGAGACAGGTAGGGTCACTTGCTCAGTGCACTTGAACAAAGTGAAATCCCATCCTTCCCATCCCCGACGTGCCGTCAGAGCCCTCGTAGCAACAATAACCATGCGTACGTACATAGTGCACAGGGAATATAAGGACAGAAGATAGCTTGCGATGCTTTGCCCTTGATGACTCGACCCCTGGGGTTCTTTTTGTCACACCTATGACATTTCACAAAAGCAAAAGGTCACCAGAGAGGGGGCGGGGATCCATAGCAGTGTTAGTATAGGCTTGGGGAACTACTATACAGTTCTACAGTATCTAGAACACTGAGGAAAATAAAAATAACAGCCCTAGAAAGTATGTGAGCAGGATTCCATCTCTAAGTTTTTAGATATTACAAAGTACCCATATATATGATAAACACTTAAACCCAGATATAAATCTTGCTTTAAAAAAAAAAAACCTCAGCTTTGCTTTTGAGTAATAAGAATAAAAAACCCACTGAACCTGGGGGCGAGGTGGGGGACTCCGCCAAACGGTTCAGGAAGGCCACTGTGTAGCGGCACGGGTGACCCTGGAGTTCACCCTTCACATTTGCTTTTTTGCCACATGAGTCGTATCAAAACCAGAGCATAGAGTTGGCTGTTTAAAAACACTAAAGTTTACAATAAGGTAATGGGTGTGTGTGAGAGAGAGAGAGAGCGCACATCCACCACGGTGCTTGGAAAGGGAAAATCCTTTTCTCTTTGGCAACAACAATGACAAAACCACTTCAGTCGAGTGAAGCCAAAACTTTCCTTAACCGGAGAGCCAACATCCTCCTCCACGCTTGTTAGAACAGATGTGGAAGAGAAACCTTTGGGGAATATAAATTAGAGATAATTCAAGGGAAGGAGGGGGAAGTCTTACAAAATTTCAGGGCATTTTCATCGACAGTAAAACAAATATGTATTTTAAAAACACGGATAATAAAGTGAGCATGTCAATAAAGGCCACTGCTTGGTGACCTGGCAGATCGGCCAGGTCAGTACATCTCTTAAGTGTGCTGGTGTTAGATATACCTAGTTGCAACACAGACGGAAGGTGAAGCTGGCAGGACAAGGTGGCAGGGCAGGAACATGCCCGGCCAAGGCCCTGGCTCAGGTGGCCTGGTCCAGAGCTCTGAGAAGGTCTCTCCCTTGCAGGAGTGTGGAACTTCCAGGCACAGGGACATTCACCTCACAGTCATATCTGGTCAGTTCTGGCAACAGGTAAGGCTCGAACGAGGGCCCCAGCAGTCGATTGGCCATGCCTGCAAGGAGGGGGGAGGGGATTTTAACACCCTGACCCAAGCATGGGGAAGGGCACTCATGTCTCCAGTGGTGCTGAGACCCAAGGAAGGCAGACACAGTAGTCTCGGGGTCTCGTTGCTTAGGTACAGAGCAACATCCTGATGGTCTCGCCCTCCTGGGGTCCACCTGCTTCCCCTTCTTTCAATCATGGTCAGAAAATAATCTACGTTGAAATAATTTCTGCTTCAATTTCAACTGCCACAGAAACCTGTCATTTGCTGACTGCTGCTGACCAGATATGTACCAGGGGGTGAGTGACTCTCTCTTTTAAACTTTTGGGCATTCCACAGACTGAGAACACAACTATACATTTCTCCCTGCTACCCCCACCACCAACCCCCCCCAAATTATTTTGCCTAGCAGAGGAACACATCTGTGAGTCAGTGGCAATAGCTGAACTTTCCAGCTTTCTTGTCACTGAGCCTTGTCACTGAGCCCCCTGTAATGCTTTCCAGAGAGATGTCCTGGTATGCTCTGTGTACCTTCAGGCATTGAGGAGTCAAGGAAAAGCTATAGACTTATGATCTTAAGGTGCCAAGAGCCTGCAGGTGACCTGACCATTGGAGGAGTCTTTCTAAAGCCCCATAGACACGAAGCCTTCTAGCTCACTCCTTCTGGGAGCAGCAAGCCCACGCCAACTATCTTCCTCAGAAGTCCATCCCAGCCTTGGGCTCCTTATACTATGTCCTTCTCTGGAAGCCTCCCTAGCCTAAATTAGTCAGAACTAACTGTAGCTCTGCCCTCTCTGGGCTCATACACATCCAGAGAGCCCTTTCTCAGTTCAGATTCTCAGTGAGGGGGCCGTCAAACACTCCCTGGTACAATGAAGGTCCTGGCTAATCCATGCTCATGCAGCGAGGCTGACTAAAGAGCCTTCTGGACTGTCATAGCTGCCTGGGACCTGAGCAGAGGCTCTGAACATGGCCTGCAATCCTGCTGTGTGAGTGGCTGCTTCCCAGCTTCCTGCCCAGTCAGGCCACCGGTGTGCATCAGACCCTGGGAGGGGTGTGAGCTCTCAAACACTCACCTGACACCTTTGGGGCTCCTGGAGGACTATAGTCCTGGAACTGGGAGGCATAGCCCTGTGGCGGGAACCCATTCTTGGCATTCTCCCCTGGGCTCAAGGCAGATGGTGGCTGTGGGGGTGGCAGGTGTCTCAGTGGCTGGCCCAGACCTCTCATGGAGTTTTGGGTGAATTCATCTGCAGGATCCAAGTCAGAGAGTGAATGTGGTGCCGTCTGATAGGACAGATGGTAGAGACTTTAAACTCTGGAGCCCGCTCCTGGCATGGGTGTAGCCTGTTCCAACAAGGCTCAGGGAATGGGTTCTGAGCCTCCGACCCTCCACTAGACGCCTGCTTACCAGAGGCCATGTTTGCACTGATGGCCTTGTCAGGCATCAGAGGGCGGGTCCCTCCCATGAGGCTCTTCATACGTTTCCACATCAGATGTGAACTGTTGCTGGTGCCCGGAGGGTCCCCCTGCAGATATGAAGTGTAGCTGGAGGAAGAGGGCTGGGGGAGGCGGGTGGAATGGGGTGGGGGGTACCACACAGATTTAGTAGGTACAGACACAGGGAGGTGCTCACCACTGGACTGAACTGTGTGCATCTCTGCCCAGCAGGCTGAGATGCGCATGGTGGTCACCATAAGGAGGTGGCTTACCCCACTGGTGTCTTGGAAGGCTTGTTCCTCGTATTCCAGCTGGCGCTTTAGCTTCAGCTTGTTGGAGAGGGCTATCATGGCTGGGCTCATCATGTATGGGCCTCGAGCCCCAAAGTCCTTTGCAGACCTACCACATCCCAGAAGAGAGAACAGTGTGACGTGGCCTATGGCCTCCCACTGCCTGGTGTCTTCACCAGGACCCAATACTTATGATGAAGGCAGTTTATTGGCTCAGAATGCTGAGTGCCAAAAGGCGTGAACAGCAGTGGCCCCGCCTTCTGTTCCTCTACCTGGTGAAATGCCTAAGCATTCAGTCACCTGGACCTGCCCTCACAGGTGGCTGCCCGGCTAGATGACATCAATCTCTGCAAGGACTTTGGCTCAGTGCCTCCCACTGTGGACCATCTGGGGGGTGCTTCATTACAAAGGACACATACTATATAGACAGCATACCCCAGCTTCTGGGAATGCTGGCGCCTGCATGTGTCCAACAGAGGCTCCGGGGTAGAAACCTGGGATGGTGGGAAGCACAGGAGTATGGACAGAACAAAAAAAATGTTTCTTAAATACCTATCTGTGCCCTAAGTACCCTTGGGGTGATCCAAAGGTAGACACCGGGGTTTGAGATACTCAATAAGCCCTCCTTCCTTTCTTTGAGGGTGCTGGCTTTCAACTAGGTAGGTAGCCAACTGCCTGCAAAGTGAGGGGATATGGTGGGGTAGGAAGCCTCGTGGGGCTCCAGAGCACCACTAGTGGGTATGGACTGATCTCTCCTTCTTGCCCAGTAAGGTCCCCCCCAGCCAGGCATCTGTCACTGACCTCATCTTGAACATGGAGACATGCGGTAAGGTGTTGGGTGGCCCCAACTGTGATGGGCCCAATGTCACAGCCCCCAACGATTCAGGGTTCGGATCGCCCACAGGCCACTTGGTGGGCCTGAAGTGTAACGGTGGGTCTGGAGGCCACTGAGTGTTGGATCTGCCTCCCATAGAAGAGAGAGGAGTGCTGGCCTGGCCACAGCATGGGGGCAGGGACCCTTTGTTCCCAGGGTCAAAGAAGATGGAGGACATGGGCCAGTACTCAGGCTCGGTCTTCCTGCTCTCCAGCTGCTGTGGGTACTTGTCCAGGAAGAAGGGGCTGGGAGTGGCCCCTGGGGCCAGTGGCTGGAAGATGCTTGTCATGGTGTTGAAGCAGTGCTGGGCACTGGGCTGGGGGCTCTCTGGCATGTGTGGCTCCTCCGGGCAGATGGGGCTTAGCTGGAAGTCCTCCCCATCCATCGGGATGTAGGGTGCTAGCGTCTCCAAGTCCAGCTCATTGAAATCAGTCTGAGGAGACAACAGCAAAGCCCAGGTCCTTCCCACGCCTTTATCCCATACTGGGCGCTTCCACCCCCAACCCACAATGCCTCTCACTCCATCCTTTTGTTCAGGCAAGCTCCCGGCTTCTCCCTTCGTGCTATTCTTGCTACACTTGAGCTCCTGAGATGAAGAGCAGCTTACCTTCACTTCCCTCACAAGCCCTATAAAGGCTGCCATTCTCACCAGCAGATACTCGGAGACCCCCCCCCCAATCATGTTCCCGTTGTCACAAGAGGACACCCATAAACAGAGGCACACGCTGTGGTGACAGTTAAGTGACCCAGAGAATGGTACCGAAGCAACACTGCCTGTCTGGAGAACTGTGTCTCAGACTGAGACAGACTGGTATGTGAGGATTGCCCCTAGTGCTGGCCACTACCACATCTATCCACTTAATCATTGAATATACAACTCAGGAGCACTTTTGTCAGTTTTTTAAAGAGCGTGTAAATGAAATGATTTGTTTTTTTAAATTGGGGGATGGTGGTGGTGGAGACAGGGTTTCTTTGTATCCTTAGCTGGTCTGGAACTTGCTCTGTAGACCAGGCTGGCTTCAAACCTCAGAGATGCTCCTGAGTGCTGGGATTAAAGGCATGCACCACCACTGCCCTCCATGAAATGATTTCTTTTTTAAATGTATCTGCATTGGTTAAAGAATTTGGACATGCCTCCTTACAGGTGTGGTGGTTTGGCGTGTGTGTTAAAGGGGGACAAAGTTGAGAGTTAAAAGCGGAAGCACTGGACTGAGCAGTGGGAAGGTGGGAGGACAAGCTCCCTGTCCCTGGAGCTTTGCTCAGCATTCCCGGGATCTCCGCAAAGGGATGCAGGAGCCTTCATCACCCACACAGGGCCTACCTGGGTGTTGCACTGGTCCTTTGCCTCTGTGTCCATGGCAAAGAGCTTCTCTATCACTTCAATCTTCAAGTGATCCTCCAGAGATGAGTAATAGTCCTCAGGGCTGCTGGGCTGGAGACCGAGAAGGACAGGACCAAGTCAAGAACCTGGTGCTTACCTTCCCAGAAGTTCAACATCAACAGACGAGCGTGTTTCCTGACTCATTCTGCCCCATTCCACCAAGGGTCTATAAAGGGGGGCTACTATTAACAAGCTGCAAATAGATCTGCCGGGCAGCCTCTCTGAATCCTGGTATCCTCATGAGGAGATGTTTACATCACTTCCTAGAGCAGTGGCTCTCAGCCTTCCTAATGCTGTGACCCTTTTATACAGTTCCTCATGTTTTGGTGACCTCCAACCATAAAATTATTTTCACTGCTACTTCATGACTTTGTTACTGTAACTATCTGTAATTTCTGGTGGTCTTAGGTGACCCCCGTGAAAGGGTCATGGCCCACTCCTAGGGTGTCTTGAGGTGCAAATTGGATGGAGGCTGTGGCCAGCAGGGTTCTATGGCTGAAGTCTTCTGTATGCAGAGAGAGCAAACTCTCGATTCTCACAGGAATTTCAGGCATTACTACTTCGATAGGGGTGGGGGACAGAGACTAAGCCGGCAGTCAGCTCTGGCAGATAAGTGTCCCTCCAGCACTGCTGGGGCTACTGCAATAACTTGAGGGGGACAGTGCTTCCCAGAATGCCTTTTCAGTCATCTGGCAGCAGAGCATGGGGTCCCACCGGCTCGCTCTGTGCTCCCCCAGAGGGTGGGGCTCACCGTGGAGCAGCTGCTACTGCTGCTTGTGGCACTGGGCGTGGTGTTCCCTGGGGTGCCCGCTTGGGGCACAGTGAAGGCAGGCAGGCTCCCAGACTCACTCTGGGCACTGTGGCTCAGCTCTGCAGCCCATGGCTGGCCTGGGGGCAGAATGCCCTTGCCATATGCCGATGGCTCGTCAAAGTTCTGGTTTCCTGTAAAGACAAGACATGCTTGGTGAATATTCACCGGGTCTAGGCTCAGCCCAGAGAGGAAGAAGCCCAGAAGTTTCACAAAGACCCTGAAAGAGTCCTCCTGAAAGTGGACCTGGGGTTGACACCCTCATACCCTGGAGCCTAGGACCAAAGAGCTGCTGGCCAGAGCCATGATTTCATATGGGGACTCCTTAACAAGAAGAGTTCCCAATAGCATTTGGCTTTCAGAGATGACTAGCTTACTAGACCCTGCAGAACACTTCAGAATGAAGGCCAGAAAGTTACTAGAGGAGGAGTCTCTCAAAGGCAATGGCTTATTACTCTTTAGGGTTCTCTGAGGTATTAATTTCCCCATGGTCTCTCAAATGCACACATCAAAGGGGGCGGATGGCAGCCAAGACCAGCAGTCACAGTTCCCCAGGAGAGGGTGCCAACTGCATAGGCCTTGCCATGCACACTCCGAAAAGTCAGGAAAGCTGAGAACTCTGCCTGGACCACAACGACTTCCAGTGAGACAGGGCATGCTCCTTGAGATGATAGATGAGGTGCTTGCTCTACCACCTCTCTGAATATGCCCAGAAAGGCCTCTCTCCCTCAGCTCAGACTCCCACAGCCAGGTGGAAAATGAACCCCTCTCATAGCCCACCTCTTTTTTACCCCTTCATGAGGTCATATAGCTCAGTGGCCAGGGAATTTGTGCCTAGCAGAGCCTGACTATGGAGAAGCGGTTGGCACATGGGCATGTGCCAAGTGTGGCTCTGATTTAGAGGAAGTGTGGCTGCAGAGGCTTGTCATAGAGTTATTCTAAGAGTGTTCCATGGCTTTATGAGGGCTAGGAAGTACCCACCAAAATCCAGAGAAATAATGGCATCTCCTGGGGTTGGGGCCAACTGGGCCAGCTCCTCCGGCTCCTCCTTCAGCTTGGTGAACAGGTAGTTACTCTTCTCAGACAAGGCCGCATCTCCACTGCTGTCAAAGATGCTGTTCATGGCCACCAGGTGGGGCTTTAACAGAGATTCAGTCTGGTCCATGGAGAACACCACATCGTTCTTCTCAATCTCACTAAGGGCACAAGAGAGCTGGTCAGAGTTTCTGCATTTTTCGTTTTAGCCAAAGCCTTTTGCTCCCCCCAGACACGGAGAAGGCCTGATAGATGAAGTGATGGGCAGGGATACTGCTGGCATGTTGGAAAGAGTATTGTCTGGGCCATGGAAGCAGAGGCAATGAGAATGACCTCTGCCTATGGGCTGTTTCAGATGGCTACACTGTGCTTGAGCTGCTGGTGCACAAGGTACCCGGATGCTGTGTCAGTTTCCTTTGTATTAGCAACAGCTGCCTCTTGTGTTCCTCCCAGGGATGGTGTGTGTGTGTGTGTGTGTGTGTGTGTGTGTGTGTGTGTGTGTGTGTGTGACATCACATCTGCATTTCCCCAAAAGCACAAGCAGCTCTCCTGTTTACCCCTCACACAATATGAAGCGACTGGTGTGTACAAATCTTCTCCCCTTAACACAAGTCAGAGAAAAGACACCCGAGGAGACAAGGTTTTACTAAAGGTGCATCAGGAATCTGCAGAACTCTACTCTGAAGATCTCTGAACCTCTCAGAAGGGCTCCACTACAAGCAGCTTTTGGAGGAGGTAGTGCCCAGGGCACTGAGCGGGCCCCCATCCCCTCCCCTACTCACCTCAGGACGTAGTTGACACACATGATGCACTGGGGCTGCAGGTTGCGGGGATTGTAGATGACAGTCCCCTGGGTCTCCAGCCACACATATCCTCCGTGTTTTGCTAGCATACGGTACTGGCCAGACACCACCTGCCCCTTGGTGCACACTAGGGAGGGAAAGAGGCAAAGGTAAGAGAGGTGGAGGAGCAGTGTGCAGCATACTCTCAGATCCCACAGGGGTATCGTATCGCCTGCCTGGTGAGCACACCGACAGAGCTGCCAGACAGACAGACACCGCGGGCAGACTGGGAAGACTGAGCTGGGAAAGAGGCTGGAGGTCATTGTAGCCAACTCTTCATTTTAAAAAGAGGAGGTTCCAAGAGAAGCAGATGACTGCCTGCCCAGTGCGGAGGTGACCATGCTACAGCTTTGCCATCCCCTCAGAACCCCCTTCCCTTACCAGACCCCCAGGCAGCTCAGAGGGAAGCATAACCAAGGATAGCATCCTACTTTCCTCACAGGCTTCACCCTCTGCAGGCAGCAGCGGCTAGGATGCATCTTGGAGAGAGGTGGGATGCAGGGATGTAGACTCCTCATCATTCCCTAACTGTGAAGGACCGGCAGAGGGCCTCACACATGCTAGGCAAGTGCTCTATCTACCACAGAGTTACATCTCCAACTGTTGGTTTTTACTTTGACACAAAGTCTACATAATTGGTCAGACTGGCCTTGGACTCACCCTGTAGCCCAGGCAAGCCTTAAACTTAACAGTTCTTTTGCCTCAGCCTCCAAAATAACACAGGGTTGCCATAAGCGCTAGCTGAGGCCTGTTTTTATTAAAAACTGTGACCTTTGAACTTCCAAGGTCATCTGTTAGCTCTATTACCTTCAGGGGGTGGAGATAGTGTGAGACAAACTGCTGTACCCTTCAGCTGGGGTCAAGAAAGACCTATAGCCCAGGACCAGTAGTCCCCTCACAACCTCTTCATCCTTGGCCACTGGAAATTCTTTAAACTTGCCTCCCAACTATCCACTGAGACTGGCGGCTTAGTTCTTTCCTCCTCTAGATTCGAGTGTGTTATCACTGTCTAAACACACCAGGGAGGGGTCCTACATCCCAGACTGTCCTTGTCCCCATTTCCAAGTGCATTTTCCATTTTTTGCTCAAAAGAGAGCAAGAGCTTCTTTTCACTAACATGGAGACTGGTGTCATGGCTGCCTCACTTGACAAGCGACAGTGTGGGTTATCATTAGCATGTGAAACATCTGTTTCATACCTGCAGCAACTGCAGCCCTCGAAAACCTCCCTTTGCTAAACGTTATTGCTGACCTGCTCAAGAGTGTCAGACTTAGGAGTCTAAATTAGATTCCCGTTTCAACTTTACTTGCCTTTCCTAAACCAGCTTTACTGGATTTTTATTTACCTTCCATGGAAACCTACCTATTTTAAGCACACAGTGTAACAAGTTGACAGATGTGAACAGCTTTGTAGCTACCACCTCAGCAAAGGCACAAAACACTGCATCTCCCCCAGAACCAGGGCTCATGTGCCTAACTAATCCTAGTTCCAAGTCTGATTCCAGACAACCACTGATCATCTCTTGTCCTTTCTAGACTTGTTATAGGCTCACTCAAGTTTATATTTTGTGTGTCTGGCTCCGTCATACTTGATCAGTGTGTTTTTGGGGTCCACATTGTTGTAGATGTGCCTTGTGTTCCCCCCTTCTTTATGAGGGAGTAGTATCTCCCTCATAAATATAGTCTGGATGTTTGAGTTTTCAATTGTGAATAAAACTGCAATTGTCACCCCTTTGGAACTTTGTTGGAACATAGTTTCACTTCTCACAGGCATGTAGCTAGAAGTGAAACTTTTAAATTAAATGCTAAGACCATGTTTTTATTATCAGAGGCAGGCAAATTATTTTTCAAAGTGGCTGTGCCATCCTAATCTAATCTTTTAAATGGAACACTGTACTGTAGGGAGGGGTGACACCATCCTTTAACATGGAGAGACTCATGCTGGGAAGGCTATGACTCACTTCAAATTATACAGGACAGTAGGAAAAGCTAGGCCGTCGGTCTTTTGATTCCCAGGGCAATCAGTCCTCCCTGACTAAATTATGTTGAGCCCAGAAATAAGGGAGAAGGCAAAGTCTGCTATGGCCGCTTTGTTAAACCGTCATGGGTTCCTTGGGCAAAGAAGGAACTTTAGTCTTCTTTGCTGTTCCTTTCTTGGTGCTTAAGGAGACCACCTTCAGCAGGGAAATGATCCTTGCACAATTTCAAGTCTGGAGTTAACTCATTTAGGCAGTTCTTAATGCAAACCACATCCAAGGCTCTTAGTCTTTTTGATGAAACAGTTCACCAAGCAGAAGTTATAACTGCATTTCTAGTAATTGCAGGCAAGGGCCTGCTCTATCAGTAGAATCTCATTCACACCAGTGTCCTAATCATCTCATTAATGGCAGCCTTGGTGAGGGGCCTGCTACTTGGTAGGGAGAGAGGCTTTTTATGGCCTTTAATCTTGTTTTCCTAAGAGCACAGCAAAGAGAGACAGCTCCAGCCCCTCCTTTGAGAGTAACAATGTATAAATTAGTAATCCATTTGGAAAGGATGATTTTCAATTATCTAAATCTGGTTGAGGACTGAGCTTCTCCAGGCATTTTGATGGGAAACATGTACGGGCTGAAACGCACATGGGTGAGTTGGAGACATGTAACTTAGACCTGCTTTCAACCTCAGCCCCTCTACCTTGGCAGGGGACAAGTGCCCATCTACAGTACAACTGTATTTGCAGGGAGAGGTGGGATGGACACACAGCATCATTCCTGACACTGACTCTGTTTCTAGCCCATGCCAATTTGGCTTGGCTTGGTGCAGTGCTCTTCAATAAGCAGAGAGGCCTCTGTGCTTAAAGCAAGCTTCACCTAACTCCAATGGGAAACAACAACAAAATCAACCAACCAAATACCCCGGAGTCTGTACTTTCTGTTTAGACTGTGAATTATCTTTAAGTGTGTTGGGGATTAAATATATGGATTAAGTAAAAATAGTATCTAATGAAAAGTTTTTCCAACGTATTTCCCTCAGGAGCCAGCCTCAAAACTGATAGGACCATTTTTTTTTTTTAATAGATCAAGGGGAGGGGCCTTTCCATATGCCTAGTGAGATGATGTCTATTCCTGTTGACTGTCTCCTTCTATTCACCCCTCCCCAGAAGACAAAGTACAATACTGTCCTCCAAGAATTCCCAGACACTTAAAAAAAAAAAAAAAAAGCAAGCCCTTGCCTCCCTGTGTTGATGGCTTGGCTTAGAAGGCAGAGGAAGGAAGGAAGCCAAACCCGGAGGCACTGGCTGGTGAGCTAAGCCAGAGCTAGGTAGAGTACAGCTGTGTGTCTCTACCAACCTGCTGTGGGAAGGGGGAATCCCTAGGAGACACAAAAGCATTAGGCTCTCCCTCCAAGAGAGGGCTGCAATCTCTAGCTGGGTCACAGTCACAGCATTCGAGAATGCCCTGGTCTCTGTCTCTCTGCCATCCCTGGGTCGCTAAGTCAGGCTGGATGGAAGATATTGTCTTTGAGTAGTTTTTTTTTTTTTTTTTTTTTTTTTTTTTTTTTTTTTGCCTGAGATCACAGTGTGAGATTTGTCTGAGTGAGATTCCATAAAGTCCTGCCTGTATTAGTAGATCAGATGAAACCCAAAGGTTACAGGGAGTCAGAGTGTGAATCTAAAAGAGAGCTCTCTCTCTCTCTCTCTCTCTCTCTCTCTCTCTCTCTTCATGCTGTCTGCAGCTTGTGGAGTTGCTGCTCAGGTAGTGGATCTGAGCTCTCGCTGTCCTGCCTGGGACACAGAGGAATGGAGAGGAATGGTAGACAGACTCCATTTCCTCTGTTGTCAGTATGGCTGCTGGGAAGCTTCTTGGGGTTTTTCCCATTTGAATCTCCTATCCCACCTTCTCATCAGCCCTGTCTGTACCAGTGCCATGCTTGAATGCTCTCTCTCCCAAGCATACATTTGTCTATGAGATGATCTTTCACTTGGGGCTTGTGTTGCCCTAACACTATGAGAGATGCTAAGTTAAAGGCCACCCAGCCTGGGAAGCTCAGCCTCCTCCCCCCCCCCCCCCCAAACAAGACCTCTTTGGGAAGAGATCGACTCTACCAGTTGCTACTCCCCAGAAAGCCAAGTACAGGTTCTTACATGCTGCTGCCTGGATAGGCCCCTCCCTTAACACTCTCTCTTCTGTTTATCCCCATCCTTCTCTACCCTTACAATTGATCCAGTGCAAGCCCACTTTCTTCTTGAACTTTTCCAGACCCCTCTTCTATGCTGAAATACTTGCTGCTCCAGCACAGAATCATGCTGGTTATACTCTAACTTGTAGAGATGTCCTTCAGGGCTGCCCATGACAGTAGTATAGAATGTTAACTGCTTAAGAGGACCCCTGAGTCTTTTCTTAACTTGCATAAAAGCATTTATAGACTGGTGGCAGCTGTGATTCTCTGACCATCTTGATGGCATCTACCTTAACTGCCACCCAAGTTGGTGACTCTGGGAAGGAAGTAAGCAAGGCTATGTCTTGTTAACCTTACTCCTCAAGGGCAGATGACAAGGACACAGGGTACTCTAGGAACTCACAGTTCTGGTGACTTTTGGTCATGTTCTCTGAGTCCAGGGCATGGTAGAACTCATAAGCAGAGCGACCAAGTAGCTCCTCGGGGTGGTAACCAACCAGTTCCATGATTCTGAATTAAAAAGAAACCAACAGGTGAGGTGGAGAGACCAGATGAGCTCCGCAGAGCAAGCAATCAGGGGCTTCAGAAGCTCAACCGAGAAAGCTATCAATTACATACTCTGGTCACACCATTTATTCATTAAGGCAAAACCCCATCACACTGGGCCTACAACTGTGGGCTGTCTGGCCCCTCCCGCCATGTCCCCACACCTCCTACCCTTCCTGAAGTCCTATCCCAGAGGACTTCACTACTCACAGAGATCTATCTAAGAAGTCTTGGTGTCAGGAAGGGCCCACCCAGCTCCATCTCCTGGTTCATACAGATGAATTCATGGAGATCCAGGAGGGCCGATGGCTTGTTATCGGGCAAGTGCCCAGGTCAGAATAGGACCAAGAGCTGAGGCCTCCTGACCCCAGGCCTGAGCTCATTCTAGTGGAAGCTGAGGAATGTTTAAATGGGAACCCTGTGGCCCAGGTGTGGGGACAATATGGCAAGGAAGAGTCAGGCAGGGAGAGCCATCTGCGCTATCGTGTCACCCCCCTAGATGCTTCTCAGGTGCCATTTGTGACCCTTGGTATGTCTCTAACTGACATAGGTTGCTAAGAGGGAGAAACATAAAACCAGTCCTTGCAGATAACTTCAGGCAGCAAGGCCAGAACAGGGCATGGCTGTACCGAGTATAGATGTGTTCATTCTGATTTTGATGGAAACTGGGCAGGTGAGAGCCATGGAGAAGCATGGAACCCTTCTGTGAGTTCAGTTTGCTCAGTCTGAATGAACAGAAGCCTGCCCTAGGACCACTGTGGTGGCAACCTTCTGTGTCATTATGTCCTTCCTGTGTACAATTTGTCCATCTTTGATACTTTATACGTGTCCCCTCATGAGTGCGCTGTCCGGTTTACTCAGCACATCACAAGTCAGGACTGATGATAGGGGCTCATTAAGATAGTCCTACTGGGAAGCACGTTCCTTCGGACACGGCTGTGTCCCATGTTTCCTGGGCAGAGGCTAAAGACAAGGAGAGGAAAACACTGGCCCCGTGTGCTCAATTTGCTGTTCCATATCCTTTCCATCCCCATGGTAACATGCATGTGTCTCTTAGACTTTATCATTCTAAATGACTGTGCTGTTCTCTGGGCTAGGGAAAGCTGCCCAGGTTCCGGGTATCCCCAGTGTCCAGGCTTGGTTTCCAAGCTACTTTTCAGCTCACTTGCCCTGCTCCACATACCCTAGGGTCCTGGCCTCCTCTCCTCTCCTCTCACCACCTGCAAGCCTTAACTCCTCTAGGGTCAGCCTGAGGCCTCTCTTTCTCCACAGAGCCCCCTTCAATTCCTTAGGCCCTGCAGAGTCCCAAAGGCCATGAGCAGTGGCCTAGGAAGGGTGCCTTCTCCTGTTGCCCCTACCACGGTGAGTGCTGGGCAAGCACTCCACTCATGTCCTCTTTGAATCTAAGGCACAACCGAGGCCTGTCAATCCAGCACTACTGAGGAACCCGGTCACTAACCGTCTCCTTTCCTTCCTTAAGCATGACTGACCACCTCACTGCAACCATGTTTACATGTATGTACACATGCACGTACATACACACATGAGTACCTCTAGCAGCCCATCATAGTCTTCAGTCTACCCCTCCATCCTGCACCGTGCCTGCCATTATGCAAGCAGAGGAGTGGTAAGTGTTCTGCCTAGATACTATGCTGGAGGTCTGAGTCTTTGTCAAACAAAGGTTAGCTCCACCGAGCACCCAAAGGCACTTTAGCTGAGATGAAGTTGGAGGAGAATGATGAGAGGAGCAGTTTTGCCTGTACCCCCACCGTATGGCATTCTTGGTAAGTCAAGTACATTTCAAACTTTGCCTGGAAGTCAAAAGCATAGTGACAACAGGATGACCACTTACAGGGTCATTGATTGGTAAGTCTGACTGGGCAGAGGCAGAATTCTCTAGAAACCCTGAATACTGAATCCATTGGCCTTCTAAGAAAGAGATAATTCTCTTTCCTGAAGGAATCTCATTTCCTTTCATGATTAGGATCTTTCCATCAAAATGCTCCAAGTAAATATTATAATTAGCCTCACAATAAGATGTTTTTATCTAATTACTGTATCATTCATTCAGAGGCACACAATGGGCAAGTTCTGGAAGACAAACAAAAGTAGGTTTCAGACTTGCCAGTTATCTTCCCACTAGGAGCTGTCATTTATCTTGTCAGCCAAAATAAATATTTAATGTCCCCCTCCCTTTGCTCCTTTAAACAGACTCCTGTAAAAACTGGGAAATACACAGCCCAAACACAATCGCAGAACATTTGGGTCGCCAGACATCACAAAGCCAGGAAGCCCCAACTTAAATCTAATGGCCATTTGCCCCCAACCGCAAGCACACCGACGCCACAGGGAGGTTAAAGAACTGAACTTGTTTATAGGGTCACTGCTTTGGCCCCTGGGGCCTTCCCTGCTCATTTCCCTGGCTGCACAAGAACGGGCTCTGATAAGAGTGGCAGCTGCTCTCTCCATCAGGGCAGAGCAACCACGTCTGTCTTCCTAGTTAAAGATCCTTGACTCACCATGAGAAGAATCAGCTGGGGTCACCCATAAACTTGAAAGTCAACTTGGGGCTGATCTGAGAGAAGAGGGTGATGTAAAAAGATGTAATTCATCAGATCTCAAAGCAGAGGACAAGCAGAAAAAGACAACGACCAAGGATGAAGGGAGCAGAGACAAGGCTGGACAGCTCCAAGGAGGCAGGAAAGGAAGAGAAAGAGGAAAGAGACAATGCATACCCGGAGGTTACTGGTTCTGAGACCAGTGTTACCCCAAGAAAGCATGTGATGGACCTGACACTGACTTTGGCCTTCAAAGTGAGATGTGCCTATAGTGTGTGAGATGACTTATTCACTGCCCACAATGGCTCTTTATTCTTAAAGCAGTCTACAAGTGATTGGGGAGACAGCTCAGTGGGTTAAGGGCTCGCTTTGCAGGCATGGAGAAGTGAATTCTGATCCCCAGCCTCTATGTAAAAAGCAGTTACATTGCTGACCATGTCTGTTCAGAATCCCAGTGCTGGAGGTAAGGGGTGGTGGTGGTATGACGGGCAGATCCTGGGAGCTTACCGGCCAGTCAGTCTAGCCAAACAGTAAGTTCCAGGCTCACTGTGAGAACATGCTTCAAAAACCAATTTGAAGAATGACAGAGAGTTGACCTTTGATCTTCAAGAGCATGGCTGCAGGCAAGCAAACCCATACATATATGTACACACAGGTGCATACAAAATAGAATGTGGTATGTTAAAATATATGTCTAGAAGTGTTGTATAGCATGGCTTACTAGAATAAGGCTAGGAAGGGAATTATTCTCTGAGGAGCTCAAGAGGCAGGAGAAAGCAGCCACATGCCTCATGGGGCCTCCCTTTATTCATCCCAGCTGTTAACCTCCATAGGTTGTTCATGAGAGGGACAGAGCTCACTGGCTGGAGGCTAGGGAGACCTGGGTGCCATTTCTAGCCCTGTTCCCAACAGAGATAAAAGGTTTGCTAAGTAAATTAATCATACAAACAAGATACAGAGTATTTGAACTCTTTATGAAGGTGAAAGTTTTGAGCACTTTTGAACACCTACATGTTTCCCCAAGAATGGTTTCATTAATAAATGCTTTCACTCAAGTCTGCTCTTCCCTTCTGTTCCTTAAGACACTCATTTAAGTTTCTGTACAGTTGTAAGCATTGGCAATGCATTTCTTTAATGACACCTAGATTATTTGCTCCTCAGAAATTAAGACCTGCTCATTTTAATACATTTTATATGGACTATTTGTATATGGTATTATATAATTTTCTTTAAGTACTAGAGAAATGTGAGAAGGAGATCATAGAATGGTTTGAACTGTAAGAGCTAGGAAACTCCGAGATAAACTCCAGAGAGTGTTTGTAGAACATTTCCAGCAGTCTAGATGAGGCAGGATAACATGTGAGTATTTTTACACAAACATGGTTAGAGCTGATTCCAGAACATTGTCAGCTGAGCAGGTACAAGGACACAGAGCCCATTAGAGTCTAACTTTAGGGTCTAAAGAAGCACATGATAGCCCCTGAAGGGCATGGGCCCATCCATAAAAGTATGTAGAATCAATTATATATACAGCCAGAATACATGTGCTGTCCTTGCAAGAGATAACCCCGAAATTAAGACAATACCATCCTATAGAAAAAGTGGCCAACAGATTTGTGAAACGCTTCCAATGTTCAATAAAGAACATGCTATTTTACAAGCAATTTGCTTGAAGTCAGTCTTTTATTCTTCGACTTAAAACATTCACAGTAGTCTTCACACATGTGCATCTCACGCCTTTGATTCTGTATAAGTTCCTCCTGAAAACTGCATTTTGTGTGTGTGTGTGTGTGTGTGTGTGTGTGTGTGTGAGAGAGAGAGAGAGAGAGAGAGAGAGAGAGAGAGAGAGAGAGAGTATACATGTGAGTACAGATGCCAGAGGTTGGATTCCCCTATATGTAGAAAAGTAGAGTTACAAGTAGATGTAATTATATGAATGTTGGGGAGGGGGGCAGACAGACACGTTAATGAGGGTTGTCATTCTGTATATATGTTTCTCTTATTGGTTGATGAATAAAACACTGTATGGCAAATTGAAGCAGGAAGATAGGTGGGGTGAGGAGATGAGAATTCTGGGAAAGGTAGGCAGAGGGAGACCACCAAAGAGGAGACAATGTAGTTGACCGAGAAGACAGGATGATGTTCCAGGCATTCTCTGGTAAAATAAGGCTATGTAGAAATACATAGATTAGTAGTTGTGGGTTAATAATTAAGACAGAGCTAGCCAGTAAGAATCCCTAGTCATTGGCCAACAATTTTATAACTAATATAGCATCCATGTGTTTATTTGGGGCTGAGAAGGGCAGCGGGACCTGGTAGGACAAAGAAAAGTCCATCAATACCCAGTATTCAGATCCTCTGCAATCAGTATGCATCTTAGCTACCGAGCCATCACTACAGCCCCATACCATAAGCCATCTTAACTTACTAACCTGATTCCTGGTTATGTCTTGGATTGTTTTTGACAAAACAGGGTTGCTATCAAATTCCTTGCTGTAAAGACTAAATGGTTTATTTTTATTCATTAGTTTCAAATGCATACTGTAATTTTCATACACCTTTCCAAGCTATAGGATTTCTTAGGGTTTTTATTGCTCTGATGAAACACCATGACCAAAAAGCAAGTTGGGGAGGAAAGGATTTATTTGGCTTACACTTCCACATCTCTATTCATCACTGAAAGAAGTCAGGACAGGAACTCAAACAGGGCAGGATCCTGGAGGCAGGAGCTGATGCAGAGGACATGGAGGATGCTGCTTACTGACTCATGCCTCATGGCTTTCTCAGCCTGATTTCTTATAGCACCCAGGCCCACTTGCCCCGGGATGGCACCACCCACCATGGTGAAATCACTAAATGAGAACAAATGCCTTACAGCTGAATCTAAAGGAGGCGTTTTCTCAGCTGAGGTTCCTGCCTCCCTGATGGCTCTAGCTTGTGTCAAGTTGACACACAAAGCCAATCAGGACACAGGAAGACTCACAAAATCACACAAGGAATATAGGGTGACTTTTAAAAGAAAACTAGTATTCTTGATGAGTTGGCTTTCTTCACAGTTATTCTACTTGGCCACTAGATGGCATGTCCACATGAATTAAAAAAAAAAAAAAAAAAAAAAAAAAGACTCGGCCCCTTTAAAGGATTTGGGAATGTCTTTGGTGTTCCTTGGATGAATGAATGGCATGTTCTGCTTTGTACTATAAATTCACTGTGGTTTCACCAAGCACTTGTGTCCAAAGCTCAGAACTCTTAGCCACTGAGAGTCATTTCTTCCTTCTCTGATACAAGTTTCGATACGGGGCAGATGTTCCCTGAGTAACAGCTCATGAATTAGTTCCTTAGCATTCTAAGAAGCAGACTAAGAACTCTTGGTGTTTGTGTGCACAGTGGAGAACAGCATCAGTCATGCCGATAATAAAGTCATCCTTAGCACTCAGAATGCTGGGGCAGGCCATCCCTGGGAGAGAGGCTGCTGGGGGCGGGGGTGGGGAGTACTTTCTCTTCAACCTGGATAAGCAACTTTAGAACCTGTTGTCTGGGTGACAGCAGTCAGCCATAGGCAGGCTGAGCACCTTTCATCTGAAAATACTGGCTCACAGGTGCCAGCAAGACATCTGAAAAGTTCTGGGTTCTAGAGCACTTTGGATTTTGAATTTCCAGGTTGAGTTAGGAACGTCTATGCAGTGTTTTCCCTAACCTCTAAAATCTGGAACATGTTTAGCTCCAAGCTTTCCAGATAAGCAATAATGTCTACGCCATGACTGTGCCCTGTACTTAGTTGGGAATGGCGGAAGTTATTGCAGGGTTTTAAAGTGTTTGATGTCTCAATTAATAGGAAACATCAAGCACTCCCTCTTCCCACTAAGGGACCATAAATGTGTTTTGGACTTGAGGTGCATCAGAACTGGATGTTTTTAAATTGATTGATTATGGAAATCTGAGAGTTCAACAAGTGATCAGACACCTCCTGCATTGCCTTTCCCCTTCTCTTCCCTCTCTACGGCCCCCTCCCTTCCCCTCTTATTAGCTGCTATATGACGACCATAGACACAATCAAAGGGAAGTGCAAAACTGCCTTTCTTCAGCTTCTTTTCTAGCTTTCACTAGGGGAAAACGACCCCCTTGTGTCAGATGTCACCAACCAGGAGAATTCCTTGGATTAAAAATGGCCCTGGCTGGGTTTGGAGCATTTCTCCCAGAAGGGTATGTTAGTGGGTATATGTACACACACACACACACACACACACACACACACACACACACACTTCTCCCCATCCCAACACAGTGAAAACAGCACTAACCACCCCCTCCCCAGCCCAAAGTAACAACTGAATAACACTGAGGGATTAAATACTTAAAATAGTCCCTTCACCAACCATTATGCCTGTACCCTGGTTACCTAATCCGCTAATCGGTTCAATGCTCTGTGTGGCACAGCACTCTGTGTCTGCATCCCTCTTCACTCATCTCTCCAGCACAATAGAATTGTGTGAGTTGGGCCATGCCAACAGGCTCCTTGAAATGCAAGATCTTGTGGAAATACAATATTTCCTTAGACATCACAAACAGCATTTCTCCCCACGATGACTTACAATGCCCTAAATCATAGGATCCTTCAACTGAGAATCTATTCTGCCTGCCAGTCCTGAGCCAGACTGAAGTCACCACAGTACTCCTCCCACTTCTGTGTACATGGTATCTTCAGTGACAGTCCCCCTTCCCCTTTAACCCAAGGCTAGTGCTTTTACCTAAAACCCATTCAAACCACAATAATGAACAAACAGATGAACATCAAACTAACTTTTGCAGGGATATTTCTTTCCCTCACCTTAAAAATAATCGGAGTCTGAGGGTTCCTTTCTAAAGTCTTTCTTTTCTGTGATCTACAGATGGCAAGTGACCTGAGGCCAGCAGGGCTTCCCCGCTTATGAAGCCTGGTGATGGCTGAGATCTTCTCAGAGGAACTTCCAGCATCATTGCCCACAGCCTCAGCCACTCACCAGTGGCTGGATAAGGGCCCTACCATTTCACCTCAAGCTGGTGACATGGGTCAGGCATTGGGACTTCCCAGGGTATCTCAGAGGACCTGCTGAGAGCACTTGCCATCTGTCTTCTGGAATGTTCATGTGGATCAAGGATCACATGTGATGAACAACCTCCCCTTGAACAGGGGTCCAGGGACCAGCACTGTAACAGCAGTGTCAACACTAAAATGACTATCAGAGCCAACTGATGGAGTTGAGCTTCTCTCCTTATGAGGTTGAAGTATTCTTCCTAACTGCTTAGTAATGAACTTAATAAATGCCTACCAGTGCCCTGGATTCTTTTATATAACTTCCAAAATGGGGCCATAAGTGACAGTCAGTCCTGACATGAGGACACTAACTCACAGGGGCATATCTAGACTCAGAGTGAAGAATCTAAGCTAATCTGGAAAGCAGAGATGATCCTCTGGCAGAACCAGATGCCCCTAGATGTCTAGTGGGAAAGAGAGGAGCTGGGCCTGAGGCTGGCAGGAGCTTCTGCCTTCAGCCTTGGAGGCTTCCTGCTACTGGGGAGGACCAGGCAGTTACTTGCTCATGTGGGCCACAGGTTTTGGGAGCAAGCCCATCTCCATGAGCTCAGGATGAAGACCTTTGCTTTTGGGAGGCCAGGGATGGGTATGAGCTGAGATACAAGACCTCCTCATGCTATGGAATGGCACTGTGCTGTGACTTCTTCTCACAAGGACCCTCTGAAATACACGGAGAACAAACCGTTCACTTCAGGGGGAATGACCCAGAGTTTCATTTGGGACACTTCAGGGGGTGGACATGCTGGATAAGGTGATCAGGCATGGTGGTGCCATTTACTCAGACTAGGCATAACCCAGCCAGCCCAGTCTCCCACTGGACTTTCCTTCCCCTGGTGCAAGTCACTGCTCATCACAATCTGTTCTCACTGTCTTTCTCCTCCCCATCCAGATCCCGTGAACAGGACAGGAGGGAGTTATGAACTGTGGTGTAGTCTACACACACCTTATACCTGGTGATGACCCCAACAACAAAGATGCCATGCCTTCCTTGTGCAGCCTTCTGTGTGCTCCCAACTTAAAAAGGGGTGAGAAAAAGCTTACACCAACCATGTATGACTACATCAGAGCCTAGGCTGTCTAGTCCAAGTCCATACTCTTTATCATTGCTGGGTCCCCAAGGAAATGTCCAGTTGCCTTGGAATTAGGGATTAGAGTTCAGCCTAGCTCACTTTAAAGTCTTCACAAGGAGGCCAGATGCTTAGAATGAGGTTGTACCTAGTAGGGGTAAAGGCTGAGTGAAACCTGTCCATCGTGGAAAAGCACTGGAGATAGTGTGGGTCAATATCCAGGCCAGAGCCCTACACTTCTGGCTGACCTGCGAATCAGAACACTTACAGAATTTCTTCTAGACTCTTGTCATGTGGGATAAGAAACCACCCTTGAAAATTTCTTTAGGAACTAGATACCTAACTGAATAAATACACACATACCATAATAATGACAACAATCACTACAGAATAGTTCTAAAGACAGACCCCAAAGGCTATATCAATGGGAGACTTCAAACTATGGTGCTAGGGATCTCTGGTAGGACTTGTAAAATGACACTGAGTCTAGGAACTTGCAGCCAGCAACACAACACGTAGGTCCTAATCTCATCTCACACACAGACACACTCAGGTAAAACCCACCCCGTCCTTGCTCATGCCACATATTCCCAATGCCTCACCTGTCATCACAGTAGGTGAACTTCATGTCCATGCTGTGGCGGCTCAGGAAAGTCTTACTGTCCAAGGGGATGTCCATGTGGGATGGGTGCTGGATAGGTTCACACATGATGATGAGGCAGGACAGCAGGGGCTCCTTGTAGCCACAGAGGCTATTGTGAGGAGGGCAGTTGTTGTAGACTCTCACTTGGCCAGTGCAGTGCAAGACCTGGGGACAAATGACAGAAGTCAGAAAGGTCAGAGAGGCGAAAGCAGGGCCCAGGCTTTAGGCAACCCCTGCTCCCAGGTCACATGGCTTCAACGCATGGCTAACAGCCTACCTTCCAGGTGGCTGACTTGAGGTTGACAGTCCGGCCTCTGTTGGTGACTGTGCACTTCATCCTCATGAAGAAGTCACGTTCGGTGGACATATCCTTGCTTTTCTTTCCAAAGCCAGAGCCTGAGTGGGGGAGGGTATGGGAACCAGTTGAATTAGTCAAAATCACAATGTTTCTAAGCAACCTGTACCCATGTTTCCTGGCCATTTGTAGTTAGGTGCTTGCAGTCTACCATGGACACAGTCCTTCATGCCTAAAGACTAAATGGCACCTCAGCGGCTGTACCCTAAGTCCTGGCTCAATTGTGGTCAGACTACAAGATGTAAGTGTGTCAAGGAAGCTTCCTGCAAAACTTCTAGAGATGGCCACTCAGGGGCTCTAGCTAACATCAAGTCCATCTGTGGAGACTCAGAGCAGAGGGGCTACTGGAAGGCAAAAACCAGATGCCTCTTCTCCATCTTGGAGAGCCAGGTGCTGGGCCCAAGGAAGACTGAGTAGAAGGTCCTGTGTTATTGCATCACCAGGAGCATGGACACCCAAAGGCAGGGGCTGCCTCATCATTTGATACCCACTTCTCTTAGCACGCAGCCACTCAGTGCAGTCAGTGTGGTCACCTGAGAGCAGCAAGGCTCTGACCAGTCTCACTAGCCTCTTGTGGGGTAGGCCTGGTCCTCTAGTGACAAGTTTGAGGGAGACTGTGGTTACTCCAAGGTCATAATCTTCCCAGTTAGAATTATCTTGAACACTTCTGTCTGCTGTTTCTAACCCATCTCTCAGGAACGTGAACAATCTCTATCTTTCTATCTGCATCCCGGGACCGCTATGTCCTGGATAATGTGCCATCAGTTTTATCCTTATGGTGACATGTGTCAAGGAGGGAAATGAACACACACACACATGTTCATACACACTCACACTCTCAAATCACACACACATTCACTGTCACACTCACATACATGCTCACTCACAAACATGCACACACACACACACTAACACAAACATACATGCACACTCACACATGCACACTCACACATGCACACTCACATGCATACTGTCTCACACACACCTTGTTTTAACTGGAACTGGGTGGACAAGTCTATCCTAATGATGTTCTTGACAAGGATCAATTAGACCAACCTTTTATCCAGGATTAAATAAATCAGTGAGACAAAGAACCCACAGCGTCTTTCCTTCCATACAAGTCCCCAGTGCCTGCCCAGTTTTTCTGCTTCTTGTTCTGCAGAGTGGCAAGTACAAGGCCAGGTGTGTCTAAGTAAATGATGTCTATACCACCACCTCCATTCTGGGCCTTCAAGGCCCAGCATCACAGCGCAATCTAGAACCTTCTTTAAATAGTCACACTGCTCTTTCTAGGGGAAGCTGCAGCTACACCCACACCTCTGAGGAACCTGGCTTAGCTGACTGACATGGTCTAGAAATCTGTGTATCCAAAGAATCAGGATCCTTGAACAGGACTCAAATATCTTTTGGGAAACGCACTGAGTGACAGATTGACTGTTCTGATAAACTGTTTCATAATTATGTCGCTTATAATTTTAGCTTTTAGGTGGGGCTAGTATCATGAATTATAACTGTGCTGGGGGAGCTCCCAGGAGTTGGGAATGAGGGGGACAGAGATTCATTTGTGGTTGTTTGTCTGGGCTGTTATTGTGAGCTCTTAACTCCCTAACCTTCAGAGTCTCCTCATTCTGGCATTCGATAGTACCACCTCAGTTTAAATATTTTCAGTAGCTGCCAAGTGTCTGCAGGACAACATCTGAGGACTTCCACTTTACCAGCAAAGCATTCTTTTCTGCCTCTAGGAATTCACCCTGACCCTCTGTTTTTAGACCACAAGTGGAACCTATGTAGACTGAATCCTTCAGTGGGGACTTAACTGATTCACTGAGTTTGATTGATCCCAAATCCCACTCATGAATCAAAAGACAGAAAGTTCTACTCAGAGGAGCAGAGGGCACTTAGCTGTGAGCCAGTGCATCTGAAAGCTAGAAAATCCTGGACTCAGCCTCATCTTTTGCCACTGACTTGAAAAGAAAGAAAAGGAGCAGTATAGGAGTGAGACACAGAGTTCAAGTCACAGAATCAAACTGAGGCCTCGGTCAGTATTGAACTGAGACTCAGAGCCCAGGGGCCAGCAAGTTCTCGAGGAAAGAAGCAGCGAGAGCCAGTTCTTTAGAAAGTGCTTTCTGAAAGCTTGCAGGAAAAGACGAGTAAATAAACTGTGTGTCTCAAAGGGCCACACTACAGCTTCTACGACAAGGTTCTTTTTGTTTTGGTACTTTTGGTTTTCTTTTAAATTTGGTTTTGATGGGGGGGGGTGCAGATAAGTGGAATCTGACTGCATGTTGCGGAATCCACAAAGAATCCATAAAAGCTTTTAAAATAAAGTGTGCCTCTGAGTCCCAGGTATGTTGGTGCATGTCTGTGATCCTAGGGTTTGGGAAGGAGGATTACAAGTTTGAGTCCAGCCTGGGCTACTCTGTAAGATCCCATCTTATGTGGGTGGGTGGGGGCAGTATGATAGCCCCTTCAAGCCACAGAGAAGGAATCATTCTCTATAGCCAAGACATTAAATAAACTCATGGCAGTTCCAAGCCTGTGCCCTCTGGGAGTCAACTGGGCAAGGCCTTTGGATAGAGAGCAGTGACCCAGGTGAGGGGCCAGGGTAGCATCGGAAAGGGAGGTGGCTGTAATTTTACAAAGCTTTGTAAACCCAAGTGGGGATTACAGTACTCTATCCCAACAGCAGAGGTGAGCCAATGAAACCTCAGCTTTTGCAGCACGCATGGTGATGAGAAAATCTTGCAGGTGTGGTATTTGTTATTCAGGTCAGATGAGCACACGCCCCACTGTGGTGACAGATGAGAGATGACAAGGATGATGTCTTGATGGGCAGTCTGTCCAGACCAGCAATAGGTTCAGAGAGGATCTTGGGAATCATAGGGTGCCACCGCTGCCTACAGCTGTAGCTCATTTTGTTTGGTTTTGAAAGATTTACTGCACTATTTACCTGTGTGTTTGTGTGTGCATTTGTGCAAGTGCTCAGACAGGCCAGAAGAAGCCACTTGATGTCCTGGAGCTGGAGTAACAGGCAGTATGAGGGAACAGGGAGGCACACTCGGGACCCCAGGAAGAGCTGCCTGTGCTCTTAACCACTGAGCCATCTCTCCAGCCCCAAAGGGTTAGTTCGTCTGAAGCGCCTTGCCTCATTCATGCTTTTTGTTTGGATGTCACAAGTGCCTGCTGCCTGCCTGTGTGATCCTCATATCTACTGACACTGGCTAGATACCAGAGATCCGTGGTCAATGTGTCCTAGCTACAAGGCACAGGGGAGCCATTTTGATCACTTCAGCCTAGTCCAGCTTCTGATGACTGCAATCCAGCTGATGTCATCTAAAGCAAGAGACTCACCCACAGAACCCACAGAAACTTGGGAGATTGCTTAAGCCTGTGTTTTGGTTGGTTTGATACACAACAAAAGACATCTGTAGCATCTCCCATAAATAATCTGGTGTTGATGAAGTTATTGGTTTGGGTGGCATCACTTGGCAGAGATAATTGATCCCAGGTGACGAAACCTCCCAGAGATGGCACTCTGACCTGAAGGAGTACCCTGGCAGTATGACAGGCAGTATGAGTCCTGGGTCACATAATCTCAACTCAAAGGCTGTACACCCACCCACGAGCCTATGGGTGTCATTTTTTGAGGCACCATACCATAATCCATCTGGCCTTTATGATTAGGCTTGGGGGAGGGGAGTCACAAGAAGAATGAAAGCATAGAACAACACTTTACCATTTTTGAGAGTCAGGTTCTCACGGATCTCCTCATGGTCACAAGGGTGAGTGAAGTCAAAGATACTGTGTCCTGTTAGTTCTACCTGTTTTAAAAGCAAGGGCAGACTTGGTCACTCCTAATAATGAGGTCATATTTCAAGAGGGAAGCTGGGATACCTTCTAGATTTGGAGGCAAGGAGATTGAGTTGAGTGATCACTGACAGTCTATGAACACTAGGTCCACGGACTTACAGATGTAACAGTGCTATTGGTGGTGACAGGGACTTGATTCTTAAGGGTTGCCATGTTAATCTGGCAATAAGAGATCTGTCAGGATGGTCACAAGCCATGTCAAGCCCCTTGCCACGGAGGAGCGTGTTCCTGAGGCTTGTGGCCCAAGAGTCATAATCATCAGGATGGGCACACTTAAGAAGTCAAGAGAGATGGTAGCCAGGACCTAACAGTAGTCTGTATCCCCCAAATGAAGACATTTGCCCCTTATGAATGAGTCAGAGGAGGGTGTCACCTGGGTCAGTCCCATGAACTTGCTGATGTTTTCCGAAAGAAAGATCATATCACCATCTTGGGTCACCACAGCAATGAAACCCTCCAAGGCTTTCAGGTACAAGTTATCCATCTGCTGGTCAGCCTCAGCTTCGGATTCATTTTCAGAGCAGACTGGAAAGAGAAAGATAGACAACATGCTTGAGTGTGGTGTTAAAACAGACATGACTGAAGGGATGGAGGATGGTCAGGCATGGCTCCAGGGCACAAGGTGGCCTTCTTGGGAAATGCATATTGCCAACTATCCAAGTGTCTGCCACGTGCCTGATGAGTGGACACTAGATGAAACACCCAGAACACATTGCCAATGATTTTGGTACAGCGTGGTTGTTCTGGTAACAGTACTTGTGGTATCAGTAGTAATGATGGTGGTAGAGGCTAGAAATATTTTAGCTACTCATGTTGTGTGTGCAATAACCACAGGCAGCCACTGCACTGAACACAGGTGTTACAGTGACTCATGAAGTAGGAACTATCCCTGGTCTCACTTTACAGAGCTAGACTTAAAGTTAAGCCATTCGCCATAGGTTGTGAAGTCTAGAAAGCTAGCAAGCCCCAGGCGCCGAATACAGTGACCATGTCCAACCATCTTGCAAACTTTGCAGTCAAATATTGTATCTATTCCTAGATCTGTCTCCCAGCAGGCTAGGACTTTGGGTAACAACTGTTTGGACATCAGTTTCCTCATCGGCAAACCCGGAAGAGTGATTTCCATCACCTTGGTATCAACCATTGTGAACTCTTTACCCCATCTGTCCCGTCTAAGACATTGTCACTATCCTCACATCTTTCAGAGCCAAGCTGGAGAATTCATGTCACCCACCTCACAAAGCTAAATAAACCCTCACACCTGCTGCAGTGTGGCACCCACGTAGGGGTGCAGAGAGCAAGTGCTCCAGGGGTTGGAGGAGGAGAATTAGTTCGCAGTAGTGGAGAGGTGGCAACTCTTTCTAAAGAGGCAGGGTTGAGAAGACTCATGATGCAGAGTTCACACTAGGATGGAAAGAGAGGCTTGTCAGTCTGGACAGGACTGGGCTGCCACTCCGAAACACATGCGGCAAGGCTTCCTCCCAGGACCCAGAAGAGCCTGCCTGGATGTAGAAGATCCATTCCCCAGGTACCAGAGACTGGACAAGTAAAGAAAGCCCAGCATTCTGCAGGACCTCCTTTTCCAGCCCAAGGGGCAGAGAGGTGGCATCTCAGAGCACTACTCTGGGGACATTAGTCTGGGAATAGCATACAGAATAGTTTCAAAAGAATGAAACTTAGAGGCACAAAACAGAGTGAGAGACTAAACAGGCAGATGCTAGGGTGGGGGGGGGGTAACATGGGGGAAAGATCTACCCCAAACATTGTACTCTGTATACCCTGGACTACCAAGTCCACCTTTGTTATCTGCAAAATATAGGCTTTGCTCTTGTCCAGACAAAAAGAACTCCCAGGCCCTGGCCCTTCGCTGTTGTCCTCAGACTACAGACTGTACCTTCCTCTAATTCATTATTTAGTGCCAAATGTACCTGTGCTTTGAAAATCTGCATTCAACCAGGTGTGGTAGTCCAGGCCCTTAATCCCAGCTCTCAGGAGGCAGAAGCAAGTGGATCTCTGAGTCTAAGATCAGCCTGGTGTCTACATAGTGAGTTTAAGGCTAGCCAGAGCTACATAATATGACCGTGTCTCAAAGAATAGAAACAGCAACAACAATGAGAATATGCATTCATCTAGCACAAGCATCAGTCCAAGAATGCCTGGCAGGCTGCCACTTAAGATAGTTAATATTTACTGGTGTAAAAGGAGACTTTCAAATGGAGACTCTTCCTGGGAGCACAAAATGCAGTTAGATAGCTGGGCCACTTGGCGAGTGGCATCACGCTGTGCAGTCAAGACCAAAGACCCTTGCTGAAGCAAGGACATTGGGTTTGTTTAGTTCTCCTTTCTTCCTTTCTGTGAACCCTCCAATGTGAGCACCCGAAGAACGGCCCTGGATGAGCAGATGCTCCTGTGAAGGGGCTTTGGTGGACCTTCTGGGGACCAGCTACTTTTCAAGGCACAGAACATGCTGGAGCTGCAGATCCTGCTACTTCTGCAAATGGGACTGTTCTCCTGGCAACCTTTCTTTAGTTTACCAAAAGGATGAGCCACAGTGAAGGCAATGCCGCCTCTTCATACCCAGTTCAAGCAGCCAAAGCATCCTACCACCTCCCTATGCCACCCTTCGGCAGTTTCCTGGACCAACATGGATGATCACACTGTGGGAAGCCAAGTGAAGCAGCTGCTGGTGTTAGCACCTCCATGGAGCATCCATGTGTAAACAGGGGTGTCAGGAGAGAGGGTACCAGGATACATCAAGACCTCCTGAGGTTAAGAAAGAACTTCTCGGCCTGGGACTGCTATGACATTTATGGTGTTTTGTGTCAAGTAAAAAATGTGGAAACTGTCGCTGAAAAAAAATCAAGCCAAGCCCAAGACCCTTGCCAGTATGAGGAGACTATACCCCATCCAGGATGGTGCTGGAGGGGTCCACTCCTGGCTTCCTTCATAATTCAGGGAGTCTGGGTGTGCTTTTCTCCCCGCCCCCCTCCACTTTTTAAAAACCAAGTTCAGATGGTGTCAAAGCTGTTGCTCCAGGAGCCATTTGCTGTGGCCTACCTCAACTTCAGGTTGTATTACTAGCCCCTGTGTAGAGAAAGCCAGCCAGTCTGGACAGGGGCACCTGATCTAGAAAATGGGCAAGGAGAGGGTTTCAGCTGCATTTGGGTTACACTAGCTAGGTGGCCACTTTTTCCAGACAAGCTGAGACCAGCCCTGAAGCCTACTGAGAAGTTGTTTTCTATTCAGCATCTTTGATCTCAGTCAGTAACACTGACTTCAAAACCTGGAGTAATCCCAAAACAGCCTATTTGGGTTAACTAGGCCCAGGGAAAAGTTCTGCTTAAAGTTTCCTGTTTTTAACAGGCCTAGCACAGCCAAGCGGCTTTCCGTAGTGTCCAGTCCGCTTACTTCCAGGAGGTGGCGAAATTGGCTGCAATTGGCTACAAGTGGCGGGTTGACTAGCCTTTGGAGGGAAGGAAGAAGAATGCTCTGGGGCCAAGAAGAGAAACAGAACATCTTGAGACTGAAGTCACAATGGCTACAGGGTCAAGGACACCAGCAGTCTGTCCCATTCCCCCCTCTGCCCCCCCCCACCCTGGGGCATCCAGGCTCAGGCGTGGCCTCTTCCTTCAATGGAACTTTTTGCTCTTGCAGCACCTGCTTACCCTCCTGAGAGTCTCCAAGGAACGCAGCCAAGTCACTCCCAGCCTGGACAAGGGAGGCAGATGTCCCTGGCTCCTGCACCCAGAGCCCTGAGCCTCATGTCTCATCTCCGCTGAAGACTGCTATGCCTTACCATTGTACACATCATGTTTTCCCCTAAATGTCAATATCTGACCCTGCACTGGGCGTGGGGAGAGAGGTACTCCCTGCACAGTTACTGAGAGTTTAACGCTCTGTCGGTCCTGGGCTGCAGAAAAGTAATTGGTTCACCAATGCCACCCATTACACATGCAGCCCTGTCTCAGGAAGAACTGGGGATACCGAAAGGATAAAGGCAATCCTACCCTTCAGGGATCAACAGACTTCCAAGGAAGCAACCCGCTAAAAGGAGTCTAAAGTCTTCCTGAGGACCCTGGCAACAATGGAAGAGTGAGCCGCTGGCACAAAATAAAGTCCATGCTCGCTAAGGTACTGGCTGGGTCTTTTCATTATCTTGGGTTTTGACATCCTGACCGCTTGCTTCCCCAGGCCTGCCAGGGTTGAAATCTCAGAGAAGGACTGGGGTATATGGACCAGCTGTCTCCACCGAGGAGGAGCAGGGTCTCAGTTAGAGAGCACAAGATTCTTTAATGCTAAAAATAGCGCCAGTAAACAGGCTTTGATGACTCCCTGCAGCCAGGATATGTGCTGTGAGGAGGGGTCAGAGCACCTTTTCCGGAGCGCCACTCATTTCCTTCAAGGCAGCACCACCCATGTTGGGTGGCATATCAGGACAGTAGAGCTGGCCATCCCAGGGAAGCAGAGCATGCAGCTTCTGACTAGGTCTCTAAGGCCCAGCTGTGCCAGCGGCGAGGGTGGCTAGGATGCTGGCTACATACATTCTCACTCTAGCAGGTTAATTTGTCTCAGCATTTCCTTCTTCAAGACATCAACCATTCCTAACAAGGTCAGATACAGGCTTCCTGCTCCAAGGGTGCTTGCAACTTAGCTATCTCTGCAGGGTCTTTCCTGTCAAAGCCTCTGCCTGTGCAATTCCTCCCATCCCAGCATCACCCCAGTGCTCATGCCCTTCCGGTTACACTGACAGCAAATCCAGTACCACATAAGCCACTTACGGCATCATCAGCTGTACCTTATACTCCCACTGTGGGCAGGCCTGGGCTGTCTCACACTTTTGGCAGGGGGGTAGATCTCACCTGGTCTCACTGGACTCCTGGTGTGCGCCCCAGAAGTTCACCACCAGAGATTTTTATTTTGTTCTTTCCATATCTGCTCATCCCATCTTCCCTCTCCGTATTAGCTTCCATAAAATGCAATGCGGGGCTGTGTTCAGTTGATACCTATTGATTGACTAGACTGTTTGCGTTAGGAGACGGCTGTGAACAGGTTAGTATTTCTTGAAGGGACTGCTGGCTCTCTCAGCCATTAACATCCTGGCATGAATCATCTTACTGGCTTTCTTCCACACAGGATGGTAAAAGGCCTTGATCTGGAGCATAGTGGGGCCAGGGAGTGGCACAGTAAGACAATTGGGATGGAAACCAGGAAAAATAGGTCTGACCGCGAGGCAGAGGAGGGCACAGAGACCACATCTGCTGCCGAAATTTTGTCCCCCGCATCCCAGTTTTCCTGATGGAAAGGTCACAGTGAAAACTTTAAAATCTGCACGTCCCAAATTCTAACATCTTTCCCTGAACAATCTGGGGACCAGGACATCTTCACCACCTCCTGTGACGGGTATGTGTCTTCACTAGACAAATGCCAGGAATGCAAAATACACCTGGCATTTATCTCTAGAAACCCGGCTTTGTGTTGCTCTCCAGCTCTACAATAAAGAGAATGTACGTTTTAGCAGGTATGAATCTGGGGAGGCCTCAGGTTAGTTTCAGAGTAAAAAGCACATTTCGCACACTGACTGTGGTCTAAAGCTCCTGGAATGCAGAAGTGACTCCCCTTCAGTCCCAGAGTGCAGGGCTCATCTCAAAAGAGAACTTAAGACAACCAAGTGATATTTCCACTCATGGTCCCGCCAGAGCGTGTTCTGTCCTCAGCCCAGCGTGGAAGAGAGTATCATAAAGCCATTGTTCCAGTTTGCTTCCTGTGATAGGGATCTCAACCGAGGTCCCGACCCACAGTCTGTATTTCTCAGTGTTGGAGGCTTCCTCTCCAACATTCCCACACACAACAGCCTACTGTGCAAATCAAAGGGAAGTGTGTTACTAAGTAAAGAAACCCTAATGCCGCTTGAACGCTGAGGCATACAACCTCAGTTTACTTAGATAATGAACTTGTAGTTTGTTTTGACTTGGGAAAGTGTATATATGCAGTAACACTGGGCCCAGGGACGTTAGTCTTACCCCTGGTGTTTCTTTTACATTTCTCCAAAAGGTCAATTCCTTTTCTCAAAATTATTTCTAAGCTATAACTTGTGCAGCAACCTAGAGACTAAGGTCTTTCATAACATTCAACACTGTTGCAGGTTAATATCATTATTCCCTCTGTGTTATAAAGAAACTATGTTCCAATGAGAGAAAGATGTATAAGGCATTGCAGGGAGAGATGACAGCCACACTAACACCCCAAATGCAGGAGGATATCTGCTCAAAGATCCTGTAATCTTTTAAGTCATATAGAAAAAAAAAAAAACAAACAAACCAAAACAAAACATAAAAACCTATGACTCAGAGTTGACAAGATGGCTAAGCACTGTGAATTGGATCCCTACAATCTATGGTGGGGAGAGAACCAACTCCCAGAAGTGGTCCTCTGACCTAGACACACACACACACACACACACACACACACACACACACACACACACGCAAATAAGTAAAATTTCAAAACATTTATTTAGTCAGGTGTGGTGGCACATGCCTTTGATCCCAGAACTTGGGAGGTAGGAGGCACAGTTCAAGGCCAGCCTGGCCCACAAAGCGAGCTCCAGAACAGCCAGAGCTACACAGCGAAACCCTGTCTCAAATAATAAAAATCAAGAACAGATGAGAGGACCCTGGGGAGGTAGTTAAAAGAGCATAAAAACACTCCCTCACAGGCAGGAAGGGCTGGATTTGAAACCTCAGTGTTCATGTAAAAGCCAAGCTTGGCTGTGTATGCCCATGATCCCAGAGTTGAAGGGCAAAGAAAGGTAGATCCTGGCAGTTTGCTGGCCAGCCAACCTAGCCAAAAGAGTGAGCTTTGGGTTGAATGAGGTTGAATGAGAGACCCTGCCTCAAAGAAATGAGGTGGAGGCAATAGAGCAAGACCCCAGTAGGGATGGGTAGGAAAAGGGTTGTTTTGCATTCTATCCCTAATGTTTTCTACAAGTGGTCCAGGGAAGGCCTGGTAGAGAAAAAGGTAAGCCATCACCTCCTCCATGGGGTGTGCTCATTTTATGAAAACTTCTCCATCAGGGATGCCAGGACCAGATGACATAAAGTAGAAACTTATTTAAAAAATCATCTTCTGACTTTCCTCTCTTCGGGACAGAGAGCCCTAGAGCTGATGTGCCAATGGCTCTGACCTGTCTATGCTTGAGCTGTCTAGGAGGTAGATAATTCTTGCTGTCAACACTCAGAGCTCCTGGGATGTGTGATGTTTGGTGTTGTACCTGTGGCTTCACAGAGCATGCGGCATGTGGGAGAGGTTGCACCAGGATATGTGAACACAGGCATGCTGAGAAGATACAACGCTACCCTAACCCGAGACCTCAGCAAGTCTGGGTGCAACGGCAGACGGAAATACACAGGCCTCCGTGTGGACGAGCACAGACAATGTGTTCCTGGTACAAGAGCAAAACACAGACACAGCTCTGAGAACCTCCTGTCCATACACTGCTTGTGGCTACTCCTGGTCAGTCTCCAGCTGCTTCCCCTTGGACGTTGGCTCCCTGACCCTCTCCAGAATCTTTGCCTGACCGGCTTAGCAGAATCCTATGAATCACTTATCTATCCCTCTCACTTCTCCAGCGGGACAAACCTCTGTATAAGAAAGGCATGTGAGTGGTCTGGGATGGATTCTCCATCAGTCTGCCTTTTATTTGGCAATCCAGGCTTTACAGGGCCTGTGCTTCCCTCTGCCATTTGCACCGGCAACTGAGTGCTTACTATATTGTTCTGCTGGCTGCCTTGCTTTCCCCAGTATCTGCTTGTTTCTGTGACAGTTCAGTTATCCAGGCCTTGCAGCACAGGTTTAGCCTCCAGCCTCTGGGCCCCCTGAACAGTCAGCCTCTCCCCCGAAGGTCTTTCCCGCACATCCTTCCTGTGCACAGGGCCCAGAATAGCACTGGTCCCGTCTGGCTTCCCTGCCTCACACTGGACTCTCTCTGAGTGAAGGGGCTCTTTCCTAAAATACTTATGTCGTTACAGGACGGCAGAAGGAGTCCACCTCCAGAGCGCCACACTCACTTAGGAAAACTGAATCACACAATCTCTGTTCGTCTTTGACTGCCTCGCTTGCTCATGCCCTCGGCCTCACTGCCCCACGCTGCCCAGTTTCCTTACACAACCGATAAACTCAACAAGACCGCACATAGGATCTGAAAGTGGAAATCCCAGGCTGCCTCCTCTTCCTGGTGGGGCCTAACAGGAAATGGTTTTTGAAGAATGCAACGCTGAGAACGGAAAAAAAAAAATTTTTTTTTCTTATAGACTGTTGTTGGAGAGATTCTAGGGAAAGGAGAACATGTCACCGCCTGGCTGAGAATGTGATGCCTGAGGCTGTCATCTACCAAGGGGCTATCCTAGCAGGAACAAGTACAGCTAAGCTACTGTCCCCATTAATTCCTACCCCCTGCCCCACCTCAGTAAGTATGGATGATTCCAGTCTACAGGCAACGAAACCAAGGTTCCTAGACATTGCATGGCCTGCCTAACTGTATAGAAGGAGGGGATAAATGGATGAGGCACACCCTGGCCAATGTCCTAGAGATGTGGCTGGAAGACAAGGACAAAAGGCTTCCTGCAGAGTCACCATAGTGGGGCACAGGGCTCACAGCCAGATGTAGCCAAGCTGGGCTTCTAGCAGCTGTTGTCTACTCTGGAAGCCCCTTTTATCCCTTGCTTTGGTGCTCATGCTCTTTGCTTGGGCCTCTCCTTGACCTCTTCTCCTGGGTGTACTCATGAAGACCATTGGCAGAGAGGAGATGGTTAAAATGAAGGAACAGGGCCAGCAAGATGGCTGAGTAGGTAGATGTGCTTGCTGCCAAGACTGAGGAACTGAGTCCAAGCCCGGCCCGAACCCAGATGATGGAAGAGGAGAACAGAATGGACTCCTGAAAGTTGTTCTCTGGCCTCCATATGTACCCACATACACAACCACACTCACACACTCATGTAAAACTAAAGGCATTTGTTGACCTTTTTGTGGGTGTATATTTGTAGAGTAATAGGTCTTGGGGTAAGGCCTAAGGACATGCCAGCCTCAGGCAGGAACTGCCAGCCTTACCTGAGGACAGGAGCTTGTGTGTCCGCAGGAAGCTGATAGCTAGCCGCATGATGGAGGCTTTGTCCAGGTGGGAGCTTACACTGTGAGGCAGTGGTAACTCATGAGCCAGTTCATAGAAGACCTCCGTCTCCTTGCTGCGTCGGCACCTTGCAGCATCTCGGGATTTCTCCTTCCTCAGCTCGGAGCTGCTCCTACATAAAGAAGGAGGGGGTTAGTCCCTGGAACATCACTGGCATCCTATCACACTCCTGGTAGAGCCATGCTCCCCACCCCTCTCCCCATCCATGGTAAAGTCATTCTCCCACTGAACCAATCTGGGCTCAGCCCAGGGGAACTGGGAACAGGCTGCTTTCTGTTATTGGTTCTTCTTTTGTGGATATTGGTGTCTTCTCAAATGGCTTCCTTCTCCCACATTCTTGTGGGAGCCAACACTTGGCTTCTCACGGGAAGGGTTTCAACGAAGACTTGATGATTAAATGAATTAACAGCCCTTGGGGACAGGGTTCAAAATCCAATGATGGAAAGGAAAGGATGAAGAACACATGGTGTTGTCGAAGGCTCTGAAGAACAAGGTTCTCTTTTTCCAGGTAAGATGTACTCAGTAAAAATGAAGCCCTGTCCTGGGCCTTGGTCCTGGTTCAGATCTGACAGGGGTGCCATAGAGGAGGCTGAAGACATCAGTAAAGCCCAGAGAGAGCACGAGGCAGGACACCTCAGTTCACACTCAAAAGTGTGTGCCTACGAGGGATAAAAGGCAGTACACCCAAAGCCCTCTGGCTTAGCCTACCAGACCAACTCTTGCTTGTTTTCCTCTTTGTTTGAAGGACAGGAGAAGAAAGACATACACCCACACCCAAACCTGCCACTCTCAGGAGTGGGGTGGGGGGTGGAGGGGTTCTTAGGAAGTCAATATCAAGTGCTAACACGGGCAAGTCAGAACACCTAGAAGTCTTAACTTCTCTGCTTGCTAACTACCTAAGAAGGCTCTTAGCATCCCCTCATTGGTACCCACTTGACAGTTATTGTGAGAGCTTAATGTGATCATCTATGTGGAACCTTTCAGTATTAGCTTAATAGTTAAAAACAAAACAAACTATCAACAGATAGGACAACTGTCATGTTATCCAGGAAAACAGCTAGAAATACAGTAAATAATAAGCATTCTTACAATGTTCACAGTATCATAATCATACAGTTTAATGTAGTCCAGCTATGATTTTAGACAGTACAGCATTAGCATCTTCAAACTTCACAGCTTGCTTTGAGAGTAGCAATTATTAGCATCCCTGATTTACAGATGAGAACAACAGGCCCACAGAAGCTAAATAAATAATCCACCTGTGGCTGCCCCCCTGATTTACCAGATGAGAAAACAGGCCCACAGAGGCTAAATAAATAATCCACCTGTGGCTGCCAGCTGATAAGTGGAGACTTGAACTCTGCCCTGGGCAGGGCAACCCCACAGCCCAGGCACTTAGTCATTAGTGACTGTTAAGAGCTGCAGAGTAATGGAGTTAGGGAGCCCCACCTCCACCCCACCCCAGCCTCATTATCTATGTTTTCTTGTGTTTCTATAAATAACACAGATTACTTGTATAATAAAGGCATTCGTTTGTTTTTTTGTTTCTGTAGAAGATGTTCGATGTGTTTTGTGGCTGTCAAGGCTTGATGTAATCAGCTCCAGCCTGGCTCATTCTACCTTCCCTTCTGAGGTTGCCAAACCCAGGGTTTGCTTTCCCTTTTGTTTGGCTTTGAGCCTCTTGTTATCTGGGCAGAACATCGCTATTTGGGGATTCCTGGAATGTTGGCATGCCTCTCACCCCCTTGATGATTTGAGGCAGAAGCCCTGTTTTGACTTTACAGCAAGCATACTTCATTGGCAGACACAGATCCCTGGATAGATGGACTACCCACTGGATGCAACACTCCGGTCAAGCAGAACCTTGTGAGAAATTGTGACGCGAGGGAATTCGCTTTGCCTGTCCTCTCTCCCCTTTGTCTTCCTTGTCTCTCACTTTCTCCTCCACTCTCCCCGACTTGTAGATCTCAGGAACACCACACCTCTGCACCAAATCCATCTCACCCTCTAAGAACCCGCCCTTTGCGAGAGTTTGCATCTTCTACCAGACTTTACTGCCCCCTAGATTTTGCATCTTCATCCCGAGTTCATCATGGTGGGATGTGACTGAGGGCTCCCAGGCTTTTTGGTGTCAGAGAGGCAGGCAGGAGGGGTGCCTACAGGGGAATCCTACAGCACTGGGTCTTAAGATCCAGTTAGGAGATGCTGAATTCCACTCCAGCACCAGCCCTCACACTGCCTGACGACAGCAGGGTTAACACATGACCAAGCCATTAGAAATATCTAAAATAGCCATGCTGGGGTGGAGCAATCATCACAGACTGTGTCTTAGCAGCAACACCTTCATGGACAAAGCCCCTCACCTTGTCAAGACTCCAACCTTAGAGAAGAAGCTCCCCATGGCTGAGGAAGAGCTCTGGAAAAGAGGCTACTTTTAAAGGCAGGGTTCTGTTTGGCATTGGAGATTTGAGTTGTGTCACATTCCTTCAACCACACAAACACTATTACAGCACTGTTCAGCCACTGCATCAAGAACTGTCCCTATCATCCCAATATACTCTTCTTCCCGACACAGTTCAGTAGACACTGCAATTTACAGATAGGGAAACTGAGGCTTAGAACATATTATTCCATTTTCCCAAGGCCTTAAAACCAGAACCTGCATAAGCCTTTGGAGAGTTTCCAGCGAGTGAGCAGGCAAGCTCCTAGTTTTATCCTTGCAGCCATGTGAGAAGTGCAGGCAGGTGGTACCTATGCCCCCATTTCAAGGACCTGGAAACTGAGAAACAGCCAGGTTAAGTGGCTTGCCTATAGCAATTACCTAATTAGTGGCATAGACAGGGATAAAACCTTAACCCCCCGGCCCACACCAGTACTCTTTTCAATGTTCATCTGTAGGGGACAGTACCCCTCCTTGGTGAGAAAGAAGAAACCTCCTCATCTTAAACATTTAGAGGAAGAAAGGCTGAGAACCTGCAGCAGGGCCCTTGGTTCATCTTAGCTCCCTTGTGTCTCCAGTGGCACCCTAGAACCAGCTTGGTTTTAATTAGATTAGCTAGTTAACCTTGACATAGTCCAGAGATGTCTAATGTTGACTTCTTAGAAAAATAGGCAAAAATTTACTGTAACACAGAAATCATTTAATTAGCTACCCTGAAGACCAGGAATAAGTAACATGAAGAATAAGAGTGAGTAACAGAAGCTTGAGCTTGTTCATTGGCCATAATGCTGTCTGCCCATCTGAATTTGGAGAAGAAAATGCATGCTCTGAGCTCTGCCTCCCTCACCTGTAAACAGGAAGTTTGAGATTCTGTGTCTCATCAGGATAAAATGTGGTGAGGACTCTCTAGAAGGCTCTCTGGCAATGGCAACTATCATGGCAGATTGAAGATCCATCGTCTGGCTACCATGAGCATCAGTTGCATTTGGATTCTGTCATAATACCTGTCCTTTGTCATCTAGCTGGCTGTCAGGGTACAGGACTATGTCACGAAAGCTGATCCTGGCCAGTTCTGCATGTCACATTTGGGCATCTTCCTAGGTTGACAAAGTGTTTCATTTTCTTCCAAGATGGGCCCTACAATTATCACATTTTGTTTTTCTTTATTGAGTGACACTCCTAAAATTTATGTGTTAGAATCAACTGGCTTCTCTTCAAAACTTATCATACCCTAAACGTTTAGATAATTAGAAATGACTTGGTAGTTTTTATAATGTGAACTTTCTGGCTGGGCAGGCCCCACCTCCACTTCAGCCCCAAATAAACAAACAGATGCTATATTAATTATGAGACTGTTGGCCAGTGACGAGGGTTTCTTATTGGTTAGCTCTGTCTTAATTATTAACCCATTTCTATTAATCTGTGTATTTCCACGTGGTCTTGGCTTACCGGGGAATGCCAGACCTGCAACTCCTTTGCCTGCTGCATGATGACGGCTCAGCATCTCCACAGAGAAGAGAGCCATTTCCTGTTTGTCGCTGCTTCTATCCTGATTCTGCCCAGCTACATAATCACAATGCTTTTTTATTTTCTCTGAAGTTTCTCTTCCCATCCTTGGTGACTCTTCTGTTCCCACAGGAGGCCCAGTACAGTATGTAGTGTATGAAATACATTACCTAAATGTGGCTCTGTCTCCTGTCTTTACACACACCAAAATGTGCCTGTTGGGCCCCATGCTGGCTCCTGAGGTCACTAAAGATTGAGTGAAGCCCACGTGCCTTGCTCTCTAAGAGTAAGCAGTCTAGTTAGTGGGCAACACCTATGCTTGTCATCATTAACTAGAATTAGTAAATAGGGACACACATGTAAACAGACAGCAAGGATAGGGACTCGGGGTGGCAGGATTCCAGCTAATCTAGAAGGATAATGACTACATATGTCCTTGTAACAGCTTAGGAGCTTGGAAAATACTTTCTAAAAGAAATATAGGTAATCTCGTTTCAGTTTCACAATAACCCTAAAGACAGGAGCTAGAGAGACTAAATCATTTCTCTCAATCCTAGTTTTCTGGGTCCCAACCACCCCACCTCACTCCACCCCACACCTGAATTTTTCCCTGGCAGCAAGAAAACTATTGAACCATCCCAACATAGCCAGTGTTATTACAAACTTTCCTACAAAGCAGATCCTCATCCACACTATGGGAAGAAGAAGAGGATGGAGACTCCATGGGGGTGGGACAGCTCTGTCATTGAATCAGCACCCAGTGACCTTAGGGAAATCCTGGAACCCAAGAATAGAACCAGTATTGGGGTTGAAACTGGGAGGAGTAGGAAGGCGGAGCACAAAAAGCCCCCATTGCTGTCTGTAGAGCTGGCTGGCAATGTGGTGCCGTCTGGGAGTCCAGTGCTGCCCTACACACTCCCTGTCATACTGCAGTCAAGGATGGGAGCCGATTCTGATTTTCTGGATCTTTCCTGCCCCTTCTACACTCATTTATCACCAGTTGCTCTCCCTGGAGGGCCAGGGGAGGGGGAAACAGGATGCGTGAGATTCTGAAAGATTTAGCCCCAAGTCAATGAAGCAAGCACTTCAGGACTAAGCAGCAGGTAGAAGAAAAACAAAATCGAGTGCTCAGGAGTATCAATCGATCAATTGATAGGTCCAGGTAC